TGATATTTATATCCTCATCCTCCAGCATCCTTCAACACTATGCTGCTTCCCTAAGTTTATGACAGTTTATACAAAGTGGTACAGATTGAGCATTCCTAATCCAAAAATCCAAAATCTAAAATGCTCCCAAATTTTTGAATGACAACATGATAAGTAGAAAATCCTATACCTCACTTCATGTGTTGGGTCGCAGTCAAAATGCAGGCGCACAAAAAATATGGCGTGAAATTCCCGTCAGGCTGTAGGTGTCAGGTGTCTATGAATTTCAAGTTCAGACTTGAATCCCATTCTCAAATACCTCATCACATATATGCAAATATAGCAAAATCAGAAAAATTCTGAATGCAGAAAGCACTTCTGGTCTCCAGTACTTCAGAAAAGGAAGAGTCCACCTGAATTTGGAAGCCAGATATTCTTTAGGTGGAGGAAGCTCTTCAGGATGGATCTCAAGTCCTGGTTCACCTGGAACATGCTGTTCATCCATGGTCTTCACAGGGCTTTTAACTCTCTTGACCCAAATTCTCAGCTGTATTTGGTCCCATGTGGCAACCTAAGCATTACTTTCATGTTGCCTGTCTCCAGTTGCGTTGAGTCTTTTTAAAAAACTGTGGCAACCAGAACTCTCCCAAGAGAAAAGGCACCATGATTTTTGTAGGGATGGCGTTTTAAAAGTTGCACTGATATAGAATGTTTGCCCCAGTAGAATGGAAGCAGGTGCCCAGGTCACCTATTATACCAGCTGCCAGGTGTTAAAACTCAGGTGGCCGGAGCACATGGCAGTCCAGGACACCGTGGGGGACCCTGGATATCTCAGAGCCACAGGGAACTTGAGAAGCCACTATTGCCCATGGACAAGGAAGTATTTCAATATTTTTAACAACAGATAGAAAGTCTTGCTTTGGAGCTTAGATAATGTTTTCTGTCTTCTTTTCAACACTATCTGGTCCTCTGGTTTGCATTTCCAAGATGAGAACTGATTTCCAATTCAGATTTCCTGCAGAGCACTTGGAGGAGACGCCAATTTCCATCAGAGGACCAAGGTTTGGGGTTTGTCAGAGAGTGTGGGTCAAATGGCTCCCAGCCATGTGAATCATGAATCCCAGACTTTGAACCACTTCCTCTAATTATAGTCACTGACCTAAACACACAACACAGATGCTCCAAGTGCCAACACCCTACGGCCTGGGAGTTGAATGATATGAGGCTGGGACTAAAAGATCTCAGGCAATCGGCACACAAGTCTTTTTAAAAAACTGAGTCCTTGATCCACAGCCCTGAATTATGTGTCATCTGATCAACAATCCCAAGCATTATGGGTTGCATGAAAGAAATCTTTATTAAAAATTGCCTTACTTGGCTAATCTGCATGTTGGTTTCCTCCTTTGTGCGTGTGCGATACTGAAGATGGAACTCGGACCTCAGACCTTCTAGGCGCGGATCTACCACCGAGCCCTGCCCTCAGCCCTCACTTCCTCTTGAAATTGTAAATCTGCACTTCATTTTGATTCTCCTTCTCTTAGGTGACTGTCATCGGGGCCAACTATCATAGGACCTTCTTTCTGTTTTCATTTCTTATTTCCAGCGAGGGTGTTTGTGTTCAGAGCAGGCATGAGGTCTCAGAGGCAGAAAAGCCAGCTATCAAGATTTAAGAAACAAATACCAATAATGAAGCACTCATGTGAGTGACTTGCCTTTGAACCAGTGAACCGACACCACGCCTTTCAGTTTTTGCCCTCCCGTCTTTCCCTCCGAGGATGGCAATCCACCATCCAGGCTGACTTCCCTAAACCTATAGACCCAGATGAAACCTAGACAACAGCCATTCACTAGAAACCCCCTCACGTAGCCCCCAGCCAAAGGAGCTTTCCTTCCCTGCGCTTTAATAAATTCTTATACTTTGCTTTCACCTTCTGCTGTCTGTGAATCTCATTTCTTGAATTTGCGAGAAAAAAAAAAACCCACTCAACTCTATGCTCCGTGTGATACTAAGTCAAACTACCTGGTCACGCTGTGAAACTCCTCATTCTTAACATGGGAACAATTGTACAAAAAGAGCTGCATTTTGAAAGTCAGCTCTGAGTCTTTCTTGAGATAGAGGGGAAGATGTGCTGGGTTCGGGATGTGTAGAAACAAACAGAGAAGGATGTGTGTGTGTGTGTGTGTGTGTGTGTGTGTGTGTGTGTGTATGTGCACGTGTCTTCCTGCAGGGTGCCAAGGGATGCTTGGGAAAGAAAGTGTAAATCCTTTCCAAAGTGAGTTACATATCATATCACACAGAAAGGGAACATTTTGGCCAGAATCACTTTCCACGAACCTGGCCAGAATCTTCCAACTGGCTTCACCGAGGACCCCCCTCTCCTGTCCTCGTGCAGACATTCACCTTGGAGGAGTAAACCCATGCTAAGCAGACACTCCACCAGGGAGCTACTTCCTGTGAGTGAAGTTGATCTCTGAGATACAGCCCTCCTGCATCATTTCAGCTTGTTTAGTGGACTCTTGAACCATTAGGCAGAGATTCAAGATTCCATGAAACAACCCACATACATCACTTATGCTTTACTGCCAGACCAGCCTCATTGGAGGAAAGTGATGGTGGTATTCACCAGTGTTAAGTGGGTGGCTGTATATTGCAAATGAGCTTTTGCAATCACATTTAGAGCTTGCAGACCAATTTAGATAGCACAACGAATTAATTAGCTGTGAAAGTCCAGTATAGCTCCCAGAGGGACGACAGCACAGAAGAGAGCCTCAGAGTTGGAAGGAAGTAGGCCGAGAGGCCAGGTATGGGCAAGGTATGGGGAGGCTTCTGTTATTCTGAGCTAGGCACAGCCTGATTTAAATATAAAGCTCTTTATTGATCGTACCCATATGCAGATTGAATGGCCACCCAGCCCTTAACATTAGAACCCGAGCGAGCGAAAGCATTTGTTGAAGACAGATAGAGAGATACGTAATATACTTATATTGTAATATACTTCTGCACATCTATTTACGTATTTAGTGGTTCTGAGCTTTTTTGGGATTTTCACATGTGCACATTTCTCAACTACAGGGAACAGAACACATTCTGTCAGATCCAGGAGGCTCCTTAATCACGTTGAGTGTCTGGCACGAAGCTATACTTGAACTTCAGAAATGATAAAAATTTGTTTACCCTTAGTAAAATACAATTTCCTGTTGGGGGCCTGGGAGGAAGAGAGCCTTCTTAAAAGAGACTTACTCAAATCACTTAAAAGTATTCTTGGACATGAAAAAAACAACAGTTGGCTGTATTAAGTGCAAATGTAGGAGAAACAGGGATTATATGTCACCTCAAGTACTCATGAAGTTCAACAGCCACAGGAAAACTAGAAAAAGTCCAGGAAGGGAGAGATTTGGTTTTGCTGAACTAAAATCATTGAATAATAAATGGTGACATTTGACAAAGTCAAGATGTCACCTTATTTGTCAACCTCCCCTTGCAATGAACTCTTATCTGCTACTCACAAGAAGACTTGTTCTCCAACTCACTCCATGCTATCGGGTCATTATAATTTATGGAAGGTTTTTAAAGCAACACAGATTGACCAGTAAATCTCCCCATGCATACGGGTAGTGACTGTGGCGTTTGTTAACTCTTTGATGTTTCACTGGTACTACAATGTAGGCATTTTAGCACAACTGGCACTTACCCAGAGGAGGGTTAGGGTGGTAGAGACAGGGGAGCCATAACCCATCATTCCAGGTTGGATTCCCACTGTCAGGCTACAAGTTGTGGGATTCAGTTCTAAAAAGAGGGTGAGTAGGGCTGTAAGGGGAGGAATTGAGGAAGAATGTGGGAATGCTTTGGAGGAGGATGGGAGAGAAGGCAATGAGAAGAGATAGGAAAGATTAAGAAAAAAAGAATGGAAAATTCACTACCAGGAGCAAGTGGAACTGGATCTCACCTCATGACTCAGAAACTTTCCAGAAAATAAAATGTCCCTTGCAAACTGGGTCTAACCCTCCGACAATTAACTTGGCATGGAGATGCAGCTGCTCTCAAAGAAAAAGTCAGAAGGGTGAAGTAGCTGACAAACCTTCCTAAGCACTCCATGGGGGACTAATTCAAGGTGTTCCTTCTCCTACCTGTATACTTATTATGGCATATAATATATACATAAGTGTATTATGGCACAACCACATACAGGTTGTCTCAGTCCATTTCAGCTACTGTAACAAACTACCATTGGCTGGGTGGCTTATACACACAGGAACTTCTTTCCCACAGTTCTGGGGGCCAGGAAGTCCACAATCAATGCACCAGCAGATTGGGTGTCTGGTGAGAGCCCTCTTCCTGGTTCATTGAGGATATTACTGGGCTTTGACCTCACATAGTGGAAAGGGTAAGTGGGGGTGCTTTTTTGTAAGGGCACTAATCCCATTCATGAGGGATCCACCCTCATGACCTAATCAGTTCATAAAGGCTCCAACTCCAACCAGCCCCTTGGGGGTTAGGATTTCAGTGTCTGGATTTTGGTGGGACGTAAACCTTGAGACCATATCTCAGGTTTTGTGTTATCTTATGAAAAAAAAAAGGACAGCTATCTAATAGGGAATAATTGCTACTGTGCCATATACATTCTTTCTTTTTGTCTTCAGGTATGGGAATATTTATTATTTTTTAATTGATATGCAAAGCATAAAGTTGCACATATTATGGGGGTACCATGCCTGATGTATCAGGTGTCCACGGCCAAATGTTTAAATCAGATTAAACCTATTTATCTTCTCAAACATTTACCAGTTCTTAACACTTTCAATACCCTTTTGACATGTACTATTTTTATGATGTAAAATATTTGCCCTGCTTTCCATCATCATCTGTTTCTGCCACTAAAACATAACGAGGGGAAAAAGTCTCAAATTAATATTCTATTTGCGGCAGGCATCAAATGGAGAGGCTTTGAGCAAGAAGGTAAAATCTTTTTTTTTCTATTGTGAAGATATTATTGATTTCAAAAACCATAAAGTAGGCAGGAAGTGTCAGAAGGAAGCCAGATGATAAAGTAAAATCCAAACACCTCGTTTTTTTCAAAAGTCCATCTCTCCAGAAAAGAGTGAGTTGGCCAGTGGCTTGGGAGTTTGAGGAGAAGTCCAGGGTCATGTCCAAGGGCTCTGGAACCCAGCATGAAATGCAATTAGCTGACTAGAAGAGGGAGGTGTTAGGTACTCGGTGTTAATTACTCCTTACATTGATGAGCAGGGTGTGCCCTTAGTTCACTGTTCTAGAAACTTCTAGGGTCACTCTACTCTGGTAGCCCATCATGAATGGGTAGGAAAAGGTATTACGTAATTTGTCCTGCTTTAATCTCTTTATTTTGACTCAGCGAGGTATACCCCAAAGTGGAAATTGTAACCCTGAAGGTCATTAACTCCTTGTCCTTTGTGATGATAACCTTGTCCTCTTACCTTGGTCAGTGGTCATTGACTGTGATCTCCCTTGACTTCAGGAATTCTGCTCCAGACTCTAGAACAAATGTGCAGATCTGAGAAGAATGCGTGCCTCCGTCGCCCGCCGGGGTCCCTGGAAAAGCTAAACAAACAAAAACCAATCGGGAATGTCTGCCGCTTCCCGCTTATCGCCTTCCCGCCTTCATACTTCGGGGATATTTATGGAAAGTCCGATTCTCTGAGTAAGCTGTTTTCAGTAACATTCCAAAAGCAAGAAACTCAAGGTCTGTTTTGTTTAAACAGAAAAGAAAAAATGTAGGAGGGAGGGGGGAAAAGGGGAAGCAAACAGCCGTGCAGAGGCTGATGAGTGGAACCAGACTGGGAACAGCTGAGGCTCTGCCTTAGGTTTTGGCTGTAAACCGTGGCAGCACCTGCTGGGCAGGGGGGGCTCGGACCCCGGAATGATCTTGCATTGGCGTTAGAATCTGAACTGACCAGGCTGGCTTTGGATTGTCCTCCAGGGCTTCCCATCTGCACCTGGGGCCCAGTCCGGCTGTTGCTAAGGTTTTCTCTGAACAGCTCAGGGTCCCTCCACCTTCCCCTGTCTGCATTAGCAGTCTGCATCATGCACGCGTGCACCCCGCCTGGAGTTTACGATCCTTAGACCCTTCTTAAAACTTGTAACTTAGTAGTGCCTTCACTCTAAGCAGGTTCCCAAGGGACATTAAAATTGGGACAGGGAAGTACCTTCCCCCAAGTCCTCCCACTTTTGCCCACCTGGAAGTCTTGTGCACATGGCCTTGACTCTGTAGCCTGTTGCAATTCCAGGTTGAAGGAGCCATGCTGGTACTGGAACCCACGGGGCCCTCAGTCTGCTCTAGCATCGGCCACGGGACACCTATCCAAGAGTCCTTGGACAAAAGCACAGTCCAGCCTTGAGATAGAGCTTTCACTGTGACTCAGGCCAGAACCAGACCCTTTTGCCCATCCACCGGAGAGTTCCATGGTGTACAGGCCGAGGACAGTTGTGGCATCAGTGCGCACAGAGGACTTCTCACCAAGCCATCCCTTCAGCCTGTGGCTGTTTGGGATTCTGGCAGCAATCTGCAGACCAGGGTGGAGAGCAGGATGCCTAAGAATGAGGTAGGAGAGCAGTTCACAGAGGAGCAGTCACGCACAGCTTTGGCCACCTCTACGAGGTCAAGCAAGAGCTGGCTCTGCTAATGGAAAGGAGGGGGCTTTTTGCTCTGCTTAGTGTTCACCGACATCCGTGCCCGCGGCCATCACCCACTCCTTCAGGGTTACAAAGGGATGTTCTAAAATCTCATATACTAGAAATTCAGTTTTCCCCTTAAGGAGAAGCCTGATACCAGATAGATATATCTGATATATATATCTGATCATAAGTGTTTGGTCCACTAGCTTCAGAAGTAAAAAATGCCGGTGTTCTCACAATCCATAACTAGCTATTGTTAACAGTATGGTTTCTTTGTTTTAAATAAAAATTTTAGGAGATCATAGTTGTAGACAGAGCTCCTGCTGTGCTAGGCTGTTCTGTATCACACCAGACCAAACCAGAACGACGTCATTCTGAAGCCAGAATTAAAGACCGGCCGGCCGTTAATATAGGTAGGTGATCTGGGTGGGATCTAGAGAATTAAGGCCAACCTGGGTCCAGGAAGTTGGAACCTGCCCCTGGGAGATTGGAATGTTCTTGTCTCCAGAGCCCTTGGACACTACTCCTCCCCAAAAGGTAGGTTGTTAATGAAGCAACTCCTGAGCAGCCCAAGAGCTGCTCATCATCGTCCTCTGTGCTTGCCTTGGTCTGCTTTTCTGGTGTTATCTTCAACAGTTGAGGAAGCAGGACTCGTGAAGGTAACCGGTAACCAGTGGTATCAATCCATGCTAGGAGTCATGCGATTAAACTGAAAATGAGCCAGTTTTTTTTTAAAAAGCCAGACATTCAATGAGAAGGGGCCCCGTGTACCCCAGCCACACGAGGAGGAAGTTCCCTCTGTTTTCACCCTACATGGAAAGTAGCTTTGTAACAACCAACTGATTTTGCTCTGTTTCTGCCCAAAGGAGGGAATAAATTTCCCTGTGTGAAGGCACCTCCCTTACCTCTATGTCAGGAAGAGAAGAGCACTCCTATCCACAGAGATGGAGAGTCCATCTGAGTTTGCATGAACGGTTCCTACTCAAATGACCTTTATCTTCCATTAGTTCCTCCAAGATTTCTCCGCCCCTTGTACTTGATTTATCATCCCTTGAACCCACACCCCCTTCCTTGTTAAAATGGTTTACAGGATCCTGAGTCTAACCCCTTATTTGAGTTCTGTTTCTTTTCTGTGAATTGCCTGTGTGTAAATATTAGTTAAAAAAATCACGTATTTTCCCCCTGTTAATCTGTATTTTGTTGGTTTAGTTTGCAGGCCCCAGGAACTGAACCTAAGAGGGAAGAGGAAAGATGTTTTCCACCCGCACACCTTCTTTTCTCTGTGTCCTCGCATGGCCTTTTCTCTGTGAGTGCACAACCCTAGGGGTCTCTTCTTTTTTGCTTTTTCAGTGCTGTGGCGTACATACTGCACGGTAGGTTCCTGAGCTGAGGTTTGTGTCCCTACCCTTGCTCCGATGAACTTCCTCATCTGTGCCTCAGGGCCTTTGCCCTACACAGGCTGCCAAACGTGAGTCACTGTCTCAGGGGAAGTGGGCATGGTGGAAACTGAGAGTACAGAAGGACAGTCTTTGGTGGTTGAGTTATAAAATAAAAACAAGTAAAAAACACTTTTTCCCCCCAGTTTTTCAAAATTTGCACATGACACAATTACGCAGAACCAGCTCATCTCCTCTTCATGTGCCCTGTCCCCACTCCACTCCCAAGACCAGATAAAGTGAAAGAGGGGACAGGGAGGAGCCAGGCAGGGAGGCTAGAGGCTCGTGTGGATTCCTTGGAGTCCATGGTAGGTTCAAGGCAGCCAGGAGGTCAGTCGGTCCTGGGTTCAATCCCAAGGATGCCCCCGGAGCACCAAAGGGACCCCAGAGACCCTGTGCACAGCACCAGCCCAGACCCTGGATAGAAATGGGAGAGACGATGGTTGCAACAGGAATTACTGTATTTCACCCCAAAATGACCGAGCAAAAGTTCAAAAGGACATGGAAATGACCAGCTTGTTTTTTTTTTTTTTTTTCCTCCGTGAAGTAGAGGGGGATCGCAAGGTGAAAATTTAAAAATCACTTACAGGCAAACAAAAGAAGATACATATTTAACATATTTGAGTTTACAGATTAAAAAAAATGTCCCCCGGTTGGTGCCGGGAGGGTTGCCCAGTGGTGGATGCAGGACTCCGTGTGAGGGTCCCATCCCCACATAAGGAAAACCCATCATCTGCTACATGAATTTATGAATATTTTTTTGAATGTTCAAGAAATGGCTGGAAGAACTGAAATGATCTTTGGGAAGGAAGATGAATGACCAAAGTAGAATGAGTCTCTTTGGTAAATAGAAAATCTAAGTATCAAGAGGAGATGGCAGCCCTAGGGTTTGAATGTGTGCCCCCAGTTCACGCACTGGAAACTTCATCCCCCATGTAGCCACACTGGGAGGAAAGGACGAGGTTCGTTATCGTGGGAGTGGGTGAGCTGTGGAGAGACCTCTGTCCTTCTGTCATGGTTTGACACCATGATAAGGTCCTCACCTTGATCTTGAACTTCCCACCTCCCACCCCGAGAGCTGTCAGAAAGAAACCTCTGTTCTTTATAAATCACCCAGTAGTGGGTTTTTGTTACAGCAGCTCAACATGGGCTGGCCAGCTGAGCGGACTGGTGTGGCCCCTAACTCATGTTCTCCTTGTTTGGAAATAGGGTCTTTGCACGGGTAATTAGTGCTGAATTTCGAGATCCTGGATTTCCATTGGGTACTAAATCCAGTGACTGGCGCTCTTTCGAAGAGGAAGGAGAGGAAGCTGTGGACCAGGAGGACAGGAGGAGGTGAAGGAGGCAGGTGACGGAGCTGTTCTCATGAGTCGAGGCCCCCAGGAGCTACCCCACGCTGGGAGAGATATGGACAGAGCCTCCCCGAATGCCTTGGGAAGGAGTGTGGCCCTTGAAACGACTGAGGGAGAATCAATGTCTGTGGTCTTAGTTAAGTCTGTTAAAGCAGCCCCCAGAGAGTAGTGTCCCTCTTAGAAGCTTGTTGTACCTCTGTGCTGGGAGGAGTGCCTAGGAGCCCACGTTCACTACCTCCCCCTTTTAAGCACACCTTCATTTCTTGAGTGCCAGGCCTAAGTTTAGGCAGAGGACACAGAAGAAAATGGTCAGGCTCAGGCCTTCTGTCTGCATGGAACTCCAAACTTAATGAGGGAGAACAAGACCCCAAGGAACCAAATCCTCTACAGTTGGGCCTCCTATCCAAGGGCTCCATAACCGTGCATGGAAAATACTTTTTAAAAAAATTGCATCTGTACTGAGCATGTACAAGACTTCTTTTTCTGTAGTGATTCCCTAAACAATAGGTCGCATTTACATGGTATTCAATTTTGTAAGTCATCTAAGAGATGATTTAAAGTTCACAGAAGGATGTGCCCAGGTACCACGGGAATGCTACATCATTTTATGTGACTCGAGCACCTGGGAATTGTGAGGTCTTGTGGGTGGGGGTGGGGAGGGGTGGGGTGGAACCAAACTCCCTTAGATTCCAAGGGGCAGGACTGTGCTTGAAAGAGTGGCATGCATGTGGGGACAGAGTCTGGGGGCAGGGGAGAAGCACGATGCCCCCAAAGCAAACCAGGGAAGTATTTCTAGAGGAAGAGTTCAAGGGGCTACGTCCATTACTGCTGTGGAATGGAATAAAGACAGAAAAATTCAGTACAGCAGAATAGGGCCATTGGTGAGCCTGACCAAGGAGTCCTGTGCGAACGCACACCCATGAGGTCTGCTAGGGCTCCTGAGTGCGGAAGTGAAAAGAATCTGGCAGAGTCAGCCCTTCTGCTGCACAGAGGAGCAGAAAGGCAGAAGCAAAATTGGGGGTGGGGGGGGGGGGGGGCTTTTTCATTGGTTTGCTTTTATACTTAAGACTGAAGAGAGTGTAGTATATATGCTGATGAGACGAAGCAGTAGGAAAGAAAGATGGGGAGGGAGGAGGGGGAGGAGGAAGAAAAGGAAGAGGAGGAGGAAGAGCGTTTTGGGCCAGGCCATAGGGGAAATGACCAAACAGACTCCATTTTACCCTGAGACCCCACATCAGGTGAGAGGTGCTTCTCCCATGGGAAGCCCCGCCTCTGTACCCATGAATAGTTACCTAGCACCCTTGGCAACCCAAAATGGCCGTTCTCATACAGTGTAAAGTCGTTCTCTTTGGTGTCCGTTTTTCTTGGGCAACGTATCTTGTCAGAGTTTGGGTCCTTTGGTGGTGGGGGGGACAGTCGCCTGCTGACCAGCTGAATAAAGACTCTTCAATTTGGACAAAACTGGGACTTGGTGTGTTTTCTGAGCCACCTGCCCCACAATCAGAGGAGGGGAGACAAAGGAGGAAGAGAGGAGACTCAGGGGAGATGAGAAAGGGGCTAAGACCTGGGGGCCCAGGGAGGATCTGGCCTTGGACACAGCAGGTCCTTTCCCTGGACCAGGGAGGCGGGAGATTTGGGGGTGGGGAGAGGTGGGGCTTGTCTCCCTGACTGCTTTTCTCTTCTCCATGAAACAACACTCAAGGTGATCCTCTGAGAATGAGGAGGAGGAGAAGGCGCTGGGGTCAGGGAGAGGAGTTCTGCCCCTGCTTCCCAGGTACGGGTGCCCTCTGCCAGAGACCCCTGGGAGCCGCATGGATTCAGCAGACGGAGGGATCCAGGTTATTTCCTTATTAAATAGGGATGAATCTCCAAGCAGAAGGACTTTATTTGGGAGTGATATAAAGATCAGAGTTGCAATCTGGGACACACACAGACCAAGTGGCCTCTGGTATGTCCAAAGATCAAAGGAAAAGCCAGGGTTCTCTTGGGAAAGAGAAGTTAGGTGAGATGTTTTGGAAGAACATTCACTGGGACCTGAAGTGCCCTTGAGGAGCTGGTGAGCTCTGATCAGCGGCTGGTGGCCGTGGCTGGGTAAAGCTTATCTTGAAGTTAGAGCAGAGGCTCTCGTCGGGTGGGGCTTGCCAGGCAGTACCTAAGGCCAAAGTTCTTCCCCGCAGCCAGATGCCCCTGCGCCGCTAGCTGCCAGGTGTGACTCACAGAACATGCTGTGGCTTAGAAAAATTTCTCATTCTAGTTCCTGCTTTCAGGTAAATCCTGCGGGACAGACTTCCTTCATGGCCTGCCCAGGATCCTCTTTGCCAGAGGTTGGATGCGAGCGACCCCATCTTGAATACAACTTTCAGGGTTGGATCACCAAAGCGGGGCAGGCAAGTCACCCCTGCCAGTCCCACAGGGCTGCCGTCTGAGTTTGTCACTCCTTTGTTTATAACCCTCAAATTGTTCATGTTCAAAGACCAGATCTAAGTTCCTTGGCTTGCACTGGGAGCCCCACCATCAGCCCTGAAGACTCCCCCACTTCCTCTTGTCTTGCTGAACGGGCTGCCTGTGGAGTCAGACATCGCTGGCCCTCATTCCCCACTCGTGTCAGAAACGTACCCACAGTTACTCAGGTGAGGTCCTTAAGACAACGTGTCAGGGAAAGGAAGACCAGCACAGGCCTGCTAGGAGGCAGGGGAGGAGGTCTGCAGAGTAGGCAGCCTCCACTCACTTGCAGGGGCCACTGAATGGACGTGCAGGCCTGGTGTTGCCAACTCTTCCCATTTTGCCAGAAAATCTGGCCAGACCCTCAGGTGGTGCCCGTCTGACTTTCTGCGCTCTGCAGATGAACCAGTATTTTTTTTTTTTCCATTGCTATTATTGCTCTCTACAGTCCTTCCATAAAGGACCGAAGGTAGATTCTCATCCTCCAGGTTGGGCTTGCAAGAGTGCAAGAGTTTCCCAACAGAAGTCTGTTTTTTTAAAAATGTCCTAACATGTCTATAATTCTATTGGGAGCAGATGGCTTCCAGATAACCCTATGCCAGATAACAGTCAGCAGGAAAACATTTCTGTGCTAATTGTTCTATTTTGGTTTTGGAACTTCTTACTCCCTCCCACTTCTGCAAGCAATTTCATCTAAATGTTGGCCAGGAAGACAACCTTCACTAAACAGAAGCAGAGACAGAAAGC